GCTTCTTTAGGTCACTTGATTCTTTTTAGCAACGGTTTTTCCAGCCCAGTGTTGTGTGGATATTGAGAAATGTTTTCTAAAAGAAGAAGGTAGTTACCCTTTACGCAGCCAAACACACATGGCTAGAAATTACATTATGGAGCTCCTTTTAGTTGCAAGGAACTCAGATTACCTTTGGTGACAGGGATGTTGGTAAAGATATGAGAGAAAAGAAGAGGTGGAAGAGGAAAGACTCACTAGTGAGCTAATCCCCAGGGTCCACAGTGAGAGAGACCTGTTCAGGGCACACAGCAATTCTACAGCCACAAGGCTGAGCTCTCTTGTTCTTCTCTCATCTTTGCTTACTATTCTAGTCTTCTACATTCTGTGCTTGAGTTTGTTCTTTTTTTCTCTTTTCTCCCTTCCCTCCAGCCATCCTCTTCTCCACTGTGGTTTACATCCCAGCTCTCTGAAAGAGAATTTATTTAGGTTGGACCTACATCGAGTGAAAAAAACTTTAGCACAATCAACAGAAAATCAAACTGACAGTGGCTTACATCAAAAGGGGCTAATTTTTTCCCCACATAACAGGTCAAAAGTAGGCAGTCACATATATTGGTTTAGCTGCTCAGTGCTGACATTGACAATTCTGGCTTTCTATCCTCCTACTCTTGCATTTGTAGCTGTTGACTTTCCATCTTCAATATTGTTGCTCCATGGTTGCAAGATGGCTGCTGCAGATCTAGGCAACACTGGATCTACATTCCAGGTAAGAAGATTGGGAAAGGGCAAAGGCAAACAAGCTCTCCTCTTGCATCTGTCTCTTCAATGGAAAAGGAAAAGTGTGCCCAGAATGCCCTTCAGCCTTCTCACCTCATTACCACATATATAACCATCCACCGCACCCACACTCCACAGACTTTTGCTTAGATTCACTGACCAAAACCATGTCACATGACTATACTTAGCTGCCACAAAGGCTGGAAAAGTGAATATTGAGCTTGTATAGCCTCTGTAAAGGGAAGGTGGCAAGATAGGAGACTGAAAAGAGCTGTTAGCTGTCAGCTCATGAACAATGTCTGCCATCATCACCACACAGCATATGGCATCTATCCTAGGTAGCACTCTAAGACAGGCCATCTACAGAAGGCTCGGCCATCTATAGATAACTACCTTTGAGCCAAGGGTTGGTTTGATATAATCAGATGTCAGCATGACAGCTGAGAAGACAACTGTGTGCAGGGCAAGAACTGATAATGCTTTGTTTAGTACCAGGGTGACATTCAAACATCTCTCTAAATTCTCATCAGTGACCCAGTTATAGCTTCAGCAGTCATAAATTTAACTATGTCTGCTTGAATTCCACACTTCTTGTTTTGTTCATTTATACAATCATTCAGTAAATACTAATGGAATGATAGGTACTTGTCTAGTTGCAGGGGGGTATGACAGTGAAGAAAACAAGTTTATTTTCTAGAGAAAGAGAGAAACAACTGAATAAAATGGTATATATATATGTATATATTTACGTATATACACACATGAATTTCCTTAACTCTCAGATGAAATCCCTATTTATGCTTCCATAATCCTGTTGCTCTCCCTGGTAACAAGCACTACAATTTCAGTAATTATAATATATATAGTATATTTGCCTATATTATATACAAAATACATAAGTATATATTATACATAAAATACATATAAACATTATATATGTATATAATTTCCAATGCAATCTCCAGATGATAGTAAGTGCAATGACAGAAACAAAGTTAAGGGGCAGTGTGAAGACACAGGTAGAGTATAAGAGGGAAAGAGTATTGTCTATAATTTATAGACTCATCAGGAGAGGTTGGAAATAGATGCTTCAGTCCAAACTTTCAAGCTGTCTCCTTTAAAAGGAATCTGGCAGACGTTTCTGCTCTGGAGAAAAGAGGAAGGAAATGCACAATCCCAGAGCCAAAATGCAGTTTGTGCTACACACCCAGTCTCTCTTCTCACTGGAACATATTTCTTAAATTATTTTATTTGACCCACGAATTGAAGGTCAGGTGGTGTGTGGCCTTCAAAATGTAGCCTTGCTCCTGAGTAGCACTTCAGTGTACACTTGGCTTTGGAAGGATCTACCACTCACCCCAAATTTCTTTTCTTAATTTCAAAAATTCACCCAAGCCTATAGTGGGGACCAACATATATTCAGATATTCTCCAGCCATTAGGCATTGGAAAGTTACCAAGGAAAGCTGGCACTGCTCATTTGTTTCTGGGTTAGCTATGTAAGATTTTTTATATTGGATTTTTAAAATATGTTTTATTGATCTTCTTCCTACCTTTCTTATTAGCCTCTGAGCCCCCCTCATCTCTCAACTTTATTCAGGCTAATTTTCCCTCATCCTTCAGGTCACAACATAATTGCAACTTCCTTCCAAAGAATTTCCTCAAAATTTAGACTAAGTTAAATACCTGTTGATGCTCCTCTAATCCTGTTGCTTTTCTTGGGAAGAATATCACAGTTTCAGTATTTACGCAATTCACTGTTTAATGCCTATCTCCCTCAGTAGATTATAAGCTCCATGAGGGTAGGGGGCCATGTCTGTCTTTCTCAGGTCTGTGTCTCAGTGCCTAGCCATGTTAAACACACATAGTAGCACTCAATATACTTAGTAAATTTATTTAGTCTATTTAGTCCCAAATGACTAGCACAGTGCCTCAGAAGAACAGGTACTGCAGAGCACGCACTGTGATCGTGAAGCTTTGCCCATGTCCCCTTTCAGGAATGGAAGACTGAGTTGCATCCCCTCCCTGCCACTGAGAGTGCTGCTTGTAAACACCCTCAGCTGTCAGACTTCTCTGGGGAATGCCTCAGCTAAAGAAATGGACAGCTCCAAATCATGTCCTGTTCCAGGGACAGTTTGCATTCAGTGACTAATCGAGTGCTGGGATTGAAGGCCCAGTCCCTCATACCAACTCAAGCCATCTCTACAAGGTCATCCCAGCTTCAGAACTCCCTTTAGTTTCTGCCAAAGCCTTATTAAGATAGCATCACACACAGATCAACTACTTTCTCTGCTCTGCTTCCTCCACCTCTCTTTCACAGGAGTTTATTCCAAGAGCACTCCTTACTAAATGCCTGGCACCTTAATCTCCACCTGAGTTTACTTCTGGGGTAAGTCGACCTGTGATGGGTACTACAAAACTGTTTACAAACTGCATATTATGTTGTTCTTCTCCATAAACTCCTAAATAGCAAAGATCAGTTATTTACCCTGCATCCTTGCAATGACTAGAAGTTCATATAGTGGACATCAGAAATATAGCAAAGGAAATATTTCTCCAAACTTAGTCTAGATTGAGCTAAAGTCTTTCTATTCAAAGTGTAGTCCTAGCACCAGGGTCACTGGCATCCCCTGTGTATTTTGTCAGAAATACAGAATCTCAATCCCTAACCTAAATCAAAACTACTGAACTCCAATCTGCATTTTAACAACATTCCAAGATGGGTCATATGTACACCGAAGTTTGAGAAGTACTGAGCTGAGGGATTTATTAATATAAATAAAATGATTTAGCTGATAATTTCTCTGGTTTGTACAGTATCTTCATAAGGTTTTTTCCTCTTTAAATTTTGATCCACACTAGTGTAATCATGCATTTTTCTTTTCTTTTTTCTTTTTTTTTTTTTGAGTTGGAATCTCACTCTGTCGCCCAGACTGGAGGGCAGTGGCTGCTCCAGGCCACCGGCAGCCTCCACCTGCTGGGCTGCGGTGATCCTTCCGCCTCAGCCTTCCGAGTAGCTGGAATTACAGGCGCACGCTACCACGCCCGGCTCATTTTTGATTTATTGGAGAGATGAGGTCTCGCCTGCCCAGGCGGGTCTCGAACCCTCGGGCTCGGGCAATCCACTCACCTCAGCCTCCCAAAGCGCGGAGCTTGCATTCTAGAAGGGGAAAAAATTAAACATCAAGGTGCGTATTGTAGCGAAGCAAGGTGAAAAGTGCCATTAAAAAAACCCCAAAAAACTAGTAGGGTGGGGTAAGGAGGATGGAAGGGTGGGTTGGAATTTAAAATTTTTACAAAAAGCCATGCATATGCCGGGAATTGAAGCAGGCGAGATAAGTAGCCGTTTGCATGTTTGAGCATCCCAGGAAGGGCAAGGAGGTCAACAGAGCTGGAGTGAAATGGGAGAGATTCAAGACAGTAGACGTGGCTAGAGAGACAAGAGGGCAGACCTCTTGATGAAAGGCTGTTAATAAATAAACCGTCACTTGACACTTAATTGCTGAAAAGGTAATTCAAGTTGTTGTTTTTTTGTTTTTCCTCTAAGAATACAGTCGTTCTTGCCCAAGCTGATTTGATTTGAACAAACCGTTCACTTAGCTAAGCTTTATGTTACTCAAATAAAAAAGCAGGGATTGGAAAAGGCCTTTAAGGGCTCTTTCTGTTCTAAAATCTCAGGCTCCAAGACGTCGAGGCGGAGAAATCTAATAGGGTAAAATAAGGAATGTGGCCCGGTTGTGGCCTAACGCAGTTTTGCAACCCCAGAACGCTGCAAAAACAGGAAGAAGACTCGCGGAATGTGGTGCCAAGCTGAAAGATCGTAACCTTGGACCCAAGTTCCTCACGTACCCGCAAGCTCGTCACGACCACTGACTCTCTTGCTCAAAGAGCGGTACACAGCACACACCCGCCTCCCGCCGCTTCCCGGACCTGGTCCCACATCCCGCCCATGCCCTGGCCCCGCCTCCTGGCCCCGCCTCACATTCGCGTCTACGATACGTCCCACCGCCCTAGCCTCGCCCAGGTCCAGGCCCCGCCTCCCGGCCCCGCCTCTTCTCTGCGTCCACGCTTTGCTTCACCTCACTAGCCCCGCCCACGCCACGCCTCTCCGCCTTCTGGCCGCGCCCCTCTTCCGCGTCCACGCCCCATCTTGCCGTCCTAGCCCCGCCTCCTGCCACAGTCCTAGAGTCCGGCGGCGGAAGTGACGCGAGACCCAAGTTGGAGGGTCGCGCGGAGCGACTCCCGCCGTCGCTCCGGCTGGGCCCGGAGTGTGCCGGTGGCAGCATGGCGCTCCTCTTTCTCCTAACTCTTATCATGCAGGCCGTGAGCCGGGCTGAGATGGGTGCCGCGGATCTGGAGCCGTCCTCGGGTACTGTCGCGCGCGGCGGGGCGGCGGCCGGGTGGGCACGGGAGGGGAGGGCGGCAACCGCCCCCCACTGCATTCCACCCTGTGGACTGCAGTGAAATTCCCAATCAAAAAAACTCAACGTCCAGGTGTTAGTATGGTGAAGCACCACTCCCAGCTGATAAATATTACTTTTATTCCCATTTTAAAGGTAGCACGGTTCACAGAACTATAGCCAGAACTTATTGGTTTTGGGTCCCATCTCCTCTGATTATATTTTATTTATTTATTAGATCCAGAGCTGAAATTTGAACTGACTAACTTAAATCTCTGTCTCAGGCCTGACGGTGCGTTTGGATGTTACGCTACTACCTTAAATGCCAACTCCTTGTTCTCCTGTCCCCACCACACCTGACCTCCAGCTTA